AAAAGAAAGCCAGCAATAACACATGACGACCAAGGACAATGAAGCCTGATAGGAAATCTAGATAGTCTATTATCAAAGCTATTTCATTACAACCTGACGGGCAATTGCAGAGAAAGAATTTTCTGTATAACTGAGGGTGGCAGAAGCCAGCTAGACACACAGGGGAGATTGTAAGACAAGGCAAAACTGCAGAGCTGATGAAGAAGGAGGAACTGACCTTCCTCAGATGAGAAAATAATCTTTGAGAAACAAATTAAATTAAAAAAAAAAATCTACATACTTGGCCTCTACTTATCAGGAAGTTATATCCTTCAAAAAAATTCAATAAAAGGAAGATATAGGTATAACACGTTCAATACCTAAAATGTATTTTGTACATTCAAATTTCAGCATAAGGGTTTGAACTAGCAGTATTTTAAATGCTATTTAGATCTTGCAGTCTTTTATTAATTTAGTGTTTCTGAATGGGAATTTCACCATTGCAAAAAAACTCCACAAAAACCACACAAAACCAAAAAAAACCACACAAAAACATACCAAAAACCCCCACCACAACATCAAAGAGAAATACGTATCAAAGCAAAGTGCTTAGCCACACAGATTTCAATATGAAATTCAATATTCCATAAAGGTTTTCACAGACACTTAATTGCCCTCTGGGGGCTCAGTCCCCAAAGCAGAATTTAGTACAGAAAACTAAACTTATATTTTGCACTGACATGCTCATTTCTGGAAAAACAATGGATTATTCTAAATCAGCAGGTGTGGGTAAAATACAAAATAATATTTTTATTATTAATAAATATAATAATTTATTATATGATTAAACCAACATTGAAAGCATAAACGATTGTTGTTACATGGTATTCTCCCTCCTCAGGCCTTTCCAAAGAAAAATCCTAGCTGGAAACACAATGACACAGACATAAATAAATTAGCAGTCGTGTACATTTGCAACATCTTCAAGGAACACTGTCAAAAGTATCCAGTAAATGCACTGTGCTATTCCCAGAAGGTTGAAGGAGTAGACTCACTCAATCTAAAGTACAGTTGTTTGTCTAGAAAAATGTAATACCAAAAGGAAGGCCAAAAGATCCAAAAAAGTTTAAATTTCTATTTTCTGTAGCATGACAGATGCTCCAAGGCACACTCATTGTTCCTTTGCATTTTCAGTTCACTGGACAAACATATACTGAATGTTACTTTTAGATCTAAGGAAGATTTTGCTGTCCTCCTCAGAATAAAGGTTTGACACTAAAAATATGATAACTAATGCAAAAATACTTCTCTTTCATTTGGAATTTTCAAAAGAATGGCATTACTTTGAAACAACCATTACAACTACTGGCTTCTGACAACACTAAACAAATTGTGGCACCAGCATGACTGACTTTTCATCTCACTTTTCAGGCCTGAATCTTTTTTTTTTTTTTCTCAAAAAAAGCCCTAAAACCCAAACAATCAACAAACAAAACCAACAAACCTCCAAACAGAACAAAACACAAAACAAACAAGCAAACCAAAACCCCAAACATGCAAAAAAAACCCACAAAACCCAGAACGTTGCATTTCCTGTTGTTATATGACAGGATAATGATATTTAAAACTTCTTTTATATAAAACAGCACATTTTCTATCTCAGAGCATCTAGTCTTCACTCACTTTGTTTATAGAGTCCTCATAAAAACACATTTATCTAAATTATCCATTTTAAATTGGCAGTCAAGAAGGTAGACTAGACCAAAATAAACAATCCTTAAACACCATTTTGAAAGACTTCTTTTTTGTATAATGGAAACATAGACTATCTGTTCCCAAGCTACTGATATTATTTACTTTATTGAGAATATTCCTCTGAACTATGTAACAAAAACCAAATCCATTCTGACGCCCATCAGCAGCACCTGCTCCACACCTCAGTGGTTCATATACTGGATCAGGACCCTGACTCTCTTCCTTTCAAAGCCAAGCCTTCTCTTTTCAGTAGAAAGCAGGTTGACATCAAATATCTCAGAAATGAAGTCCTGACAACTGATACCTACCATTAATTAGCCAGGCCTTCCATCTGCATTTCATTCCCTGTGGGAAGGCTCAAGCAAGCAAAACATAGCTGAATTAAATACGACATAAAAAGTTCAGATAAAAGTGTCAAAAGCTATTACCATTTTCCATTAAAGCACACTGGTTTCATCAGATTGGATTGTACGGAAATTCCTCTGTAACCACCAAAGTATTGAGTACATTATCAAAATTTTATTTCTTCCTCCAGAAAGAAATGTACCATGAGCTAAAGACACCATTGAACACTTCTGGTAATGCCAAGACTGGCATTCAGACTTAATATATACTGAATGTACTCTTATGACTAGAAGTGTTGGCAATTGGTCTGAACTTCTCAGAAGAACAATCTCATTTGTACATTGGCTTTAATCATAACATAATTTGCTTTGAGATCCCCATTAGCAGTGCATTACAGGAATTTGTGTGCCACAATCTATGAAAAAGAGCTGAGTGCATGTTCTGACAGGCTAGGGAAAACCCGAGAGGCAATTATTTCAATAACAACAGCAGCACTGTTTCTCTAACTGGTTTTATAATACAGCCTGGCCCAGGAAATGATAAAAAGCTCTTACAGAACTATGCAGAAAGGGTGAGACAACATTGATAAGGAAGCTTCAAAGGATTTGAGATAATACTGGATGGGAGAAGCTGCCTGCCTGGCCTGTCTGGGCGAGGACCCTTACACCTCCCAAGGCAGAGCCAAAATGAATATTAATCCCTGCTCTCCCTGATACAGGTCAAGAGACTACTGTACTGTTGTGTCCCCTTTATTTTTTTCCCTAGGCATTTCTTTATTCTCTAAAATCTATCAAAGTAACTACATGCATTACTTGTTTCATAAGGTAGTTTCCCGCTATTTCATTCGATTTAAAACAAACACACAAATGGCTCTAGCTCTGTTTTTTTACGTGTGCTTTTTAAAGAAAAACAACACAAACCCAGCTGTGCCAAGAACATCCAACTTAGGGAGCAGCTTCAGGTGTAGATGTGCCAGAGGGACCACTCAAGCCCGTATATCACTGCTGGTACCGGGGAAGGTTTTTATGGAGAGGGACTAACAATAAATCTCAAAGATTTAGCCAGATAAGAGAACTACAGAATTTCACTTCAGGAGCAACTGCAATCTCACATCTACCATGCTTCATACAGGAAAACTATCCTCTTCCTAAAGCAGACAGATATTCACCTGTATTCAGAACAAAACAACACAAACCAAAATGAGTCACATAAACACGTGAAATGCATCTTTATTCAAGTTTGGTCTCACCCTTCTTAGGTACACCAAAATTGAGGGAATACCAAGAGAGCTTAGTCAAAATCCTTGAAAGATGCTCAAAGATTAGACTTAAACAAAAAGCATACACTCTGTCAGGAGCTTAAAGTTTGCCAAAGATAAAACGAAGAAACACCCTGCTGTAAACTATAAATATACTCAACAACCACTTGAATAAATGTACCAGGACATAGCCCATAACTAGAAATCCTACTCTCCATTATAAGGTTTCATGCTTTCCAACAAACAGACCCATATTGATAATATTAGCTGTAAAACAATTAACATAGGATGCCCCTTAAAATATTTGTCTCTTCCTATATGAGAACACATTCTTTGGAGCAAGTGTTTGCTATACACACATCCAAAATGAAACAAAGCTTAGTAACTCAGTGAAAAATGAAGTTAAATGTGACTATCTAAAAGCTAATTCATTTATTCTTGTTGTTATGCATATGTTCTCAATAGCGTGAAGAAGTTTGCTGTGGACTTATTGCTAGTTTGAGGTAAATCTTTAGGAACTGTAAAAGAAACTGATCAGCTGAAGTAAAGAAATTACATGATACCATACTGGGACAAAGCAATGCTTTACCTGTTACCACATTAAGTGATACTGTTTAGGGAGAGCACATAAGTCTGGCCCATTTCTTTTCTCAGCAATCCATCACAGCAATACAAATATTTAAAGATCTATTTCTGCCTATTCCATTTAGCAACCCTTTTGGACATAGAATCACAGAATCATTAAGGTTGGAAAATACCTCAAAGATCATTCAGTCCAACCAACACTGCCATGTCCATCACTGAACCGTGTCCCCATGTGCCACAGGCAGACATTTCTTGAACGCTTCCAGAGACAGTGATCTCCCCACTTCTCTCAGTAGCCTATTCCAATGCCTGACCACTCACCCTTTTAGTGAACAAATTTTTCCCAATATAAAATCTAAACCTCCCTGGGACAAATGGAGGCCATTTCCACATATCTATGAACCTGTCCAATCCCTTTTTGAATCTGCTGATATTATCTGTCTCTACCTCCTCCTCAGCTAACTCAACCTGCAGAGTTACCAAACCCCTAATCACACTAATATTCTATGAGTCACATAGAAATTGTGCACCACTACCACCTTGGCTGAGAGCACAAACAGATACAGAAGACTCACTGAATTTAGAGAGAGGCAGTAGCTTCTGCTATACCCGAAAAAGCTTTCCAGACCTGATGAAGAATTTGCATAATGAAAAGCTTGTCTGCTTTTCCCAGCTCTATCAACTGATCTAAAAATATATTCATTCCCCCTACAAACCTAGCAACTATGCACCCTTTGGATAGTTATTCCAGTTCATCGTGAGACTGGTAAGGTTCATTCCTCCCCATTGAAATAATCTTGGATACAAATACATGACTGTATCTGATTTGCTTTAATTAAAACTTGAAAAGTTTCCCAAATTTTGAGGAATATATGAGGAATAACTAGCTTTTCCTCTTGACTCACTGCCAAGTGCAAGCAGTTTTCAAAACAAAAGCCTACAGAAAGATATACAGGAACAACTGTCCTGCTGACATTTAATGAAAGAGGTACACCCTCTGAAGTTATCATTTAAGCATATTTACAACCAACAGAGTTACAATGCAGCTGGTTTAACTTCCCTTTTCTCTTTATTTTACCTGTCAAGTCTCCAACGCCTGCTTGTAGATTCACAAGGCTCCTCAACTTCATAGAAGTCAGTGCTCTGGTCTTCCACGCTGCTGGAGTTTTGCCATTCAGAGCAGAGATTTCTCCTAGCACCCATAGCAAAAGGCAAGTTCTCATACTCAGGTATTTCCTCATAGTGACGTACATTCTCGTACTCTGGATCACAAATGCTGGTTACAGAATTCAAAGGCATTTGGGACAAATTCTCTCCCAAAAGTCCATGTTTTTCTAAAGAATCCAGCCTTTGGTTATTTCGCATCTCAGGATGACTTCTGTTCCGCTGCCTCTTCTTCTGTAATGCCAGACTACTTATTTCTACGGAGTGCGCCTTGGCAGATTTAGATTTCCTTTCACTGCCTACAGACCCTATATTCCTGTTGTTATTTCCATACCCATCCCCATTGGAAAGGTTGGCAATAGCACTCTCCACTGACTGGCTGCCTTTAGACAGAAATTTTTGGAAGTCACTTTTCTTTAAGCAAACTGACAGTTTCATGTTCAGAAGCTTTTTCAAGCTATTTTTCTTGTGATGGTGGTCTTTGCAGGGCTTGTCTGTCCTGTCCATATCCATGGCAGAGAGAGACTTGGCCCGAGGTTTTGTCACAACAGTCAAGTGGCTGAAGCTGGTAGCAGTTTTTAATGATTCAGAATTTCCTGAAAATGGAAGAATAGGATGAGGTAACTTCCAGACGGGTTTTTCAGAAGAACGTTTGGGTATGTCACAGGACAAAAGTGCATCCTGCTCCTTGGCTCGTGCATGTGCGAAGTGAGATCCTTCTAGAAGGCTGTTTGATTTGTCCTCACTGGAGGTGTAAGAACTTTTGTCCACAAGCTCTGCTGATGCAGCTTTTTTCAGCAATCCAGCAGCTGGAAGGCCATGCCTCTGTGGTTTCTTAGGAATAACTTTTGGGGAACTCTCATCCTTTATTTTAAATTCTTTATTTGCCAAGTTTTGTGAGGAAACATGGAGGTTGTTTGAAGCAGATGAGTGCTGACTGCTTGCCAGTTTGAGCTGCTTTGGCAAACTCATGGACAGGGCATCACACCTGACAAAGTCAGTCCTTTTGACCACAGCATCTGGCATACTGGCATGATCTGTTATCTCATCCATGCAATTATGGCCTGCATTTAAAGAAGATTCAACATGTCTCACCAAATCAGGACTTCCATGTAAAAGCTGAGGCAAAAGATTCTGTGAAGCTGACTCTTTCACAGCAGGCTCCCTTACCTGAGGCATTTTTTCTGCATTGCTTTGAGTTACCTCACATTTTTCAGGATGAAACACTTCTGCATTATTGTTATAGCAAACACTCTGAGCAAGGACATTAATTCTTGCTGGCTTTTTTAAGCTTTGGTCCACAACACCATAAGAATCTTTCTCTGAATTAGGTTCCTTTATTCCTTCTCCTGTGCTGTCTATGCCATCCTGACGGACTAGACATGCGGCACGTGGCTTTCTCGGCTTAGGGATAGGAAGCACTTTGGAGCTCAGGACTGAAGATATTTCAGGGGAGGTTTTATCAGCATCTGCTTTCATCCCTATTTCACCTGAAAACATCCTGTTGCTACTTAAATTTTCATTCTCTAGAGTTTCCTTGTCCAATGGAGAACAACTGTGATTATTTTCAGTCAAACTAGGACAAATTTCAGACATCCGAAGATCATCAGCAGTAATCTCACCATCAGCATTTTGTTGCTTCCCTTTAACTACCTCAGAAGATGACGAAGATTGTACAAGTTCCATAAACTCTATTTTAACATCAGTCTTGGAACTGCTGCCATCCCCTTTGTCAAATTTGTCCGCATACCTGTGCCTAACAGGACTGCTGTTAGGAAACACACCATGAGTTAGGACATCCTTAAGTTTCTCTTCTAAAATGCTGGCTTTCAAAACCACCTGACTTTTACTTGCCAATTTTTCATTGTGACTATCCCCCAGAGATACTGCATTTCTTTCACCAAGCTTGATGCTCTCTAAGGTGTCAAAGTGCTCAAGAATTATCTGAGTTTTACAGGTGTTCTCTCCATTTCCAAGTTTATGAAGACATTCAAATTTGCAATGTGACACAGGTAGAATATATGCTGTGTTTCCAGTACTTCCTTCTGAGGTTTCATTTTTGTAGTTCAAATGGTCTAGAGTTTGAGAAGAATCTTCCCTGCGCTCCTCAAAGCTTTTTGTGTTTTTTCGTGTAGACAATGGAGGTTTAACTTCTGGGATGGAGGAGCTTTTAAGAACCTTTGGTTTTGGTGCAATTGCTGGCTTGGTTTTCTTTGCTGCTTGTATCCCACCAGAAAGTACAATATCAGGCTTCGGTGCAACAGGTGGAGGCGCTGCCTTGTGTCCCAGGACAAATTTTGGTTTGGGGGCCACTGGTGGCTTCTTAATTTCTAGGAAGGATTAAAAACAAAGACTTTAGTCACCATTGTCCACAAAACAACTTCACCTGCAACACAGTAGTATTAAAAGTTTTGTAACATTTAACTTGTGATCTACAAGATCTCAATGTGTGTATGGATATATTTTTCTCTTAAAAGCATGCCTCCCTTCCGCAACACCACTTCTTTACTAGTTGCCTTTGTTTTAATAGGCACATCAAGGAGTGTTAGGGAAGTTTTCAAAGTCTTTTCATAAACAAACAGTGTAATGTAATATTAGTACATGTACTCCCTCAGATGCTAAAGTTTGATGCCAATAAAAGCAGAGCAGATTCGCCTGGTTTTGCATTTTAACTGTAATACCACTTTAAAATGTTGCAAGTATGTTAAGTGCCACACATATAATAAGCCACAAAGACAATAGGACCACCAGAACAGTGACCAGGGTAGTTCAGTTCCCTCTTCCACCACCTTGAGATATGAGTAATCTGAAATTCCTCATTCTCTTCCTCTCCCTTCAAACAATACTGATATGAATTACTCCAGCAGTTGCAAAACTGGCACGTCACTACCAACAGTTCAGTTAGTCTGTGGTATGAGGCTAATGCAGTAATTTGTAGCAAGGCAGTACCTGGCTATTGTAAAACACTATTTTTGTGCCTCGTACAAAATCACTCTTCCCAACATGTCTGACCTAGAAACAGTCAGCACTATTATGAATTGTGACCCACTTGGCAAAACAAGATGACAAACCCTGGGGAGAGTATGCTTAGGAAAAGGAGCTCATGAAGAACTTTGAGATTATGGAGTTTTGATCCTGTTGAGTGGTTTCAGTGTTTTTTGTTTGCTTGTTTTGTGGTTGCTTTTTTTAAAGTATGTCTGAAATATTTGAATATTTCAGGAGATTATTTGTGACCAATTCATTTCCATATGCTGGAATATTTTCAGATTTCTAAGTGTTTTGAGTGTTTTTTATATTAGTGCAAATTTATAAAGTAAACAAGTTCCTCGTGCTGTTTATGTATTACCTCTGTATTTACTACCTTTGTTTTGATCAGTATACTTTCAGTAAGTCATATACATGTTAAATAACACCCCCAAGAAAACACATTAGTTAATGTTTCACATGCAAAATAGATGTGGTATGCCATTGATTTATTATTCCCTTTGAAATGTGGGTTTGGTGTTTGGTTGTGTTTTACCACCATTATTACTATAGATACACACTATATCTTAATCTCTAGCCTAGAAATGCAAGAATGAAGTTTCAAAGTTTAGGTTTGTTTTGTGGGGGACTTGTTTGTTTAAAGGAAATCTAGATGGGTTAAATAAAAAAAAAAAGGCAGATTGCAACTATTTCCTAAACAGCAAGCCACTGCTCTAAGCAGAGAGCCAGTAAAACCATGTTTTTCTAGGACACAAATCACTAATTGTGATTACCTCTGCCTACACTTGGAATGGCTGTCCTTGATGCCATTTATACTAGTGAAGAGATAAACCTCTGATGGCAGAGACCATTTTTAAGAAATTTTGCAAGAGGAAATCCAGAATTCCTTTCCAAAGGTACAGCTCTCTGTAGCCACTGACAACTACCACTTACTGCCAAGGCTATCCCACCTTCTGCATCCCATCTAAAGGCAAGTTTCCCACAAAGAGATAAATCAACAATTTGCTAGGAAAAAATAAAATTAACTCTTCAGGTGGGTAACTACTGATCCCAAACAGCAGAAGAGAGCTGTACACTCACTTTCAGACAAGCCAATTGCTCATTCAATTGGAATATGAAGTGATGGCAATAAAGGAGCCTGTGTTCCATGGTAAAAAAATGAAGAAGGGAAGTCCAGTTTGTCACAGAACACAACACAGTAGTGTTGGGCTGCACCATGTTCAGTTACATTTATTAAGTTACTGAATTCACTGGAAACAGGAGAGAGACAGGCTGCTTTGGAACCCTTTCTGATGCTCAAGTAAGAGAAACAGATTGAAAAAAACACAGGAGATGAAACACTGGCTAGGTAAGCAATATCCCGTGGATTATTTTTCCCACACACAAACTGAAGTCCATAAACCTTGGAAGTTTCTCTCTTTGTAGTAGGAGTGCCTAACATTTTGGATACCACCAAATTACATTACTCTGCAGGGCTTTTAACTAGTATTTATTAGGGAACGCACTCAGAAGTTATGGTGTGACACCATTACCTGAATATAAATGATCAAAAACCCCCATGATTTTATTAAACTAAACCATGAAAATGTAAAGAAAAGAAAAGCAAATAGACTGGTTGTTTGTAGGCCAGTGGCAGAAACCTGGGAAATGAACAAAGCAGAAATATTCACTTCTGATAATAAGTGCAATTCAACGTGATTTCTGAAGCCTACTAGAATTTTTCAAATTTCTTCAATGTTAAAAAGCATTGAGACACACAGAAGAGACCAGCAAATTGTGTGGGATAATAAAGACACCACTGTCTGCTTTAAAGTGATTGCACATTACATCTAGAGTAGATATGGGTCAATGTATTAACAGGCACATTACAGTCTCGGTATCTATATAGATCTGCAGACAACCGCTCCATCAGAGAGGAATGTGATGAAGAGCCCTTTCAAACATAAATGTGACGTGAGAGGAAAGATTCCAAGAAGGGAATGAATACCAGTAGTTTTCCTTAACAAAATATCATTAAGTTTCTGAAGAATACAAGCAATGAACTACTTAGAAAAAAATTATAGCAGCTGACAAGGGTAAAAGTATGGTAGATTTACATTAGAAATAAATTAGATTTACATTAGAAATCAAGAATTAAAGTTTAGTTGCTTATAAACTAATTAAATTCCCTGTTGGATGAAAAGCAGTTCTACATAACAGTGCTCTAAAAGGGACAATTTCCCATCCAGAAGAGAAAGAAAACTAAGTAGGAGGCAACTGTTATATATAAAGGTGTAAGGAATGACTAGAAGTCATATGAGAATGACTTTTTGTTAAATGGCAAGCATAAGCAAGGTGAAAAACAATAAATGTAATGAAGGAAATGTTATAGAGCAAATACATGGGGTAGTTAGTTGATTGGACAGCTTTTTCCTGGTGTCATATGGAAGTAACTATTCATCTAAGGACAGAGATGATTGGTTATACTTAGGAGAGTAAAAATTGAAGAGAATTTGGAAATAATTTCACATAGTTATGAGAGCTCCATGCAGGTCTGAAGCAGTAAACAAACCAAGAAGTATAAAAGATGACATTGAAAATATTTCTGTACATAGCACCTGCCAGACTGTTAGTGAAATGCAATGTTGCCTTCCGGCAATCTCAGAAATAACTACAGAATCATCCAAGGTCTAAAAATTATTCTTCAAGTCTCAGGGAAGATCATCCTGGTTAATTTAACAAAGAATTCAAAAACTAAGATGGTAAGAGAATATATATATACTTATGCACATGTAAAAGGTTTTTGCTAACAGATGGCTCTTGAATCACAAAAAAAACCCCAAACCGAAAAAACACCTAAGCCCTGATGAGATTCCGCAGCCGACCATTGAGGTTTGACAAGTTCAAACTAGAAACAAAGCTCTTAAATTCTTATGAAACCTAAAGGATAATTAACTACAGAAACATCTCACCTACTGTAGTGGGGGAGCCACAAGCACTTACAGGCAACTTAAACTTACTTTCTGACACATGTAGAATTTTCAGAGGAAACTTTGGACTGAACACTGGATTCTCTAGCCTGTCTTACTCAGGATTTTAAAGAATCACTATGATTTTCTCCACTCCCAAATCTAGCCTTAACCCATTTCTCAAAGAGAATTCCTGCATCCAGGGATTCCAGTAATAAATGCAAATCTAAGAGTAGAAATATAAAATTTTATTTGCATAAACAGATTAAATGTTTCGTAGCCAGAGAAACTGTCAAAGAGATATTCTCCAACCTGTTTGACTATGCAAAGGAAGAAATCCATAAATAAAGTGACTAGCGATGAAGCCACCACCAACAGGAAATCTGCTGCTCACGTAGGAACAGCCAATACCATGCCCAGTGTTGAAGGGAAAAAAAAAGGTGCTTAAAAATACCAACACCTGACCCCCTTAGAAAAAGTGGATTTAAAAGGGCATTATTTTTCTAACAACATATTAGCACCACCTATGCAGATCAATGCATGTGCTCTTTGTCTGACTTCAGGTCACAGCACAGAAAACAGACATTTATCTCTCTGGTGAATTATGTCCCTCAGCATGCTGAGGAAAAAGCAACAACCCATTCTTATGCTGCTGATCTCCTCTGTGACCATCACTTGTTATTGCTTGACTGGTAAGTGCTCCTGTTCTTCCTTTGATTTGTTTCATAGGAGGTTGAGAACATCCTGAAGCAACTTCTACTCTCAATCCTTTGACCCTAAAGTGCTGCCCGTTTCTGTTCTTCAGCTGATAGAATTTGACAGCTGAATTTTTTTTCACTTAAAAGCACTTGTGTGCCTTCTACATTCTATCATGAGAATGAACAGATAAGCCAATAAGATATTGCAATATTAAGCATTATTATTACACAGTTGTAAATCCTTCTCAAATTTTTACCTCTTGTTCTCTTCTCTGTTCTACATAAGAACAAGGAGAAACAATGATATATGATGGTGAACTGAGGCAAAAAATCAAATAGCACTACCCCTTCTGCAATAAACCCCATTGTTGCTACAGGATTGTTTTTCCCAGGTGATTTTTATGCCAATACCTTTGAGACCATGTTAACAACTTCCATATTTAAGAACAACAAAAGAACATGAACAGGTCGTTTTGACTTGCATCTGTCCATGAAAAGGAGACAAATAGTTCTAGACACTGTCAGGATGACATAACTTGATATTCCTTTCCTTGCAATGCTTCATATGAACAGAGGCTCCCCTCCTGGTATTCACAATGCCCAACTGGACTATCTTAAGTCACCCAAGAGGTACCCTGGGCAGGATGCTGCAACCTCCCCTAAAGCAATGTTACTTCTGAACAACAAAAATTAAGAAGAAAGTAAAACAATAAATCAGTGTAGCATTAGATTTTGATAGCAGCTCAGCCTAAGTTTAAGGTAAGGGTACACAATCAAATTACTATGGGGTAAGTAA